AGAAGCCTGCCAGACAGGCCCAGGCATGCTGCAGCGATCTTAACCCCGGACCATCTGGACACCAAAACACACAGGTGGGCAGAGGCTGCTCCTCACCCTCGGCCTCAGCCCTCTCCTGTCCTCGGGCGTACAGGACTTCCCCAGGGCAGGTCTGCTCAGGTGCAAGCTGTAGCCAGCAAATCAGGGAACTTGTAGCATTTATTCCCTTCAGCTGGTGATATTGGGGTTTGAACTCAAGGCCTTGCGCTTGCCAGGCAGGCTCTACCTCTTGAGCTACATCCTTTTTTGCTTTAGTTATTTTTCAAATTTGATCCCTTCCCCCCACCACCGTGCCCCTTTTTGGGGGTGCCCAGAATGGCCTCAGGCTGAAATCCTTCCACTTAGCTGGGATGACAGTACATACCACCATTCCCAGCTTAGTCATTGAGATGGAGTCTCACTCACTAACCTTTCCCCCAAGCTAGCCAGGATAAAAGATTCTCCTGATCTCTACCATCCCAGTAGCTGGGATTATAGGTGTGAGCCACTGAGCCCAGCCTGACCAAAACTGGGTTTTTAGGTGTCAGATCCAAACTCCAAGAACCTTTATATATCAGGCCTGGCCGCTCACCCCTATATGTCAAATAAAGAGACCTGGTAAACCAAGAGCCAGTGGATAATGCCTGTAATCCTAGCTACCTTGCAGGAGGCTAACTTTCTTGCCTGGGCTGGCTTTGAATTGTGATCCTCAGATCTCAGCCTGCTGAGTAGCTAGGGTGACAGGCGTGAGCCACTGACACCTGGCAAAAATAACGCTTTAAAGAAGCTGTCTAGCCACGTGCCGGGGGCTCACACCTAGTAATGCTAGGCCCATCTCCAATTAACCATCAAAACCAGGATGAAGGTATGGCTCAAGTGATAGACCACCTGGCTAGCTTTCTGGAAGGCCAGGAGTTTGAATCACAGTACAAGGAGGAGAAGAATCCACCTCTACACGCCAGCTCACACGCTCCACTTGCTGCTAGTTTCCAAGCCTTAGCTCTGTGACACGACACAACCCATTCCCATTCACACCACTAAAAAGAAGCCTGGTAAACCATCTATGTCTCATGATACCAAGCACTGCCAATATTCTCAGTTCTCCCCGGAGATCACTCTCAGCAGTACAAGGCACCACTGACCGCTACTTCCTTGTTTTGTTTTGTTGTTGTTGTTTAAATTTCCCTTTATTATTTATATATGCTTGGCTGGGACTGGACATTCAACTCAGGGGCTTTAGGCTGCGAACAGGTGCTCTGCCATGTAAGCCCCGCCCCTGCTGCTGGAATTGAGGCCCCACCTCTGGAGCCACGCCCCTTTCCTTGTGGCCTCCCCTATGGAGCTGGAACTCCACAGCCTCTTCCCTCAGCCTCTTGAGTGCTGAGATTACAGGCGTCACCACCACTGGCTTTCACCACTTCCTTCTCAAAACCCATTCCTTGTAACTCATCATTTTCCTGTTTCGCGTCTCAGCGATTCTTTTCCTGCCTTGTCACCCTGTACCATTATTTTTGATGTTCCTTGGTGGCTCATCTTTCCTTCTCCATCTATATTTGTGTTCCTAGGTGATTCATCCTTATCCAAAACCTGCACTACAGGAATATATCACTACTCTCAAAGTGATATCCCACCTTTTTTTTTTTGTCAGTGGTGGGGCTTGAACTCTGGGCCTGGGCGCTGTCCCTGAGCTCTTCAGCTCAAGGCAAGCACTCTACCACTTGAGACACAGCGCCACTTCCGGTTTTCTGAGTGGTTTATTGGAGTTAAGAGTCTCACAGACTTTCTTGCCTGGGCTGGCTTGGAACCACGATCCTCAGAGCTCAGCCTCCTGAGTAGCTAGGATGACAGGTATGAGCCACGAACACCTGGCTATCCCATCCATTTTAAAAGATCATGTGAGTTTCTAACTGGGATTCCCCTCTTCAGGGCTTGTGGGACAGCATCTGACAGCCATAGTTGCCAACACAGACAGGGTTCTCCTAACAAACACAGTGGAAGTTGAACATCTCCTAAACTGGAAAGCCTCAGAATATGCCTGAGCACCAGACATCAGAGCTCCGCTCAGCCAAACTTCTACATGCTCAGCATACCTCTAATGCTACAGTTGGAGTCTCATCTCGCTCAGCCAGGCACAGTAGCTTACCCCTGTAATTCCAGATACTACTCAGAAGGCAGAGATCAGTAAAATTGCAATTCAAAGCCGGGGGGGGGGGGGGGGAAGGGGGGAGGGGGAATATGTGTGAAACCCCATCTCAGCCAATAAACTAGAATGCTGGAATGCACCTATAATCCCGACTGCTAGGGAGGTGTACCTGAGGGAAGACTTCAGTCCAAGACAGGCCCTGGCCAAAAAGCAAGATGCTATCCTAAAACCTGCTAAAGTAAAAAAGGGCTGGAACAAAGCTAGGTGCTAGTGGCTCATGCCTGTAATCCTAGCTACTCAGTAGGCTGAGAGCTGAGATCTTGGTTCAAAGCCAGCCTGGGCAGAAAAGTCCCTGTGAGACTGACTCTTAGCTCCAGTTAACTACTCAAAAACCAGAATTCATGCTGTGGCTCCAAGTGGTAGAGTGCTAGCCTTGAGCACAAAGAGGCTCAGGGACAAGACCCAGGCCCTGAGTTCAAGCCCCCCAACCAAAGGTGGGAGGGAAACTTTACATGAAATTATAAACTGAATCATCATACATCATAGGCCATCTATCCGTCATAATAATTTTCATTGCAAGATAATTAGTTTTCACTACAAATTGAATTTTACACAACATTTTCCTTCATGAGACAGGGTGGGAGGGTCAGTACTTCCTGGCTTCAACCAGAGCTACTGCTTTGCTGAATCAGGTAATGGCTTTAAGATATAAATCAGACCTCTGGCTTCCAATTTCATTTACACCGCAACCACTACAGACTGAACAAAGGGAGCCCAGCGCTGGGTGGCTCACATCTATAATCCTAGCTACTCAGGAGGCTGAGATCTAAGAATCACGGTTAGAAGCCAGCCAGAGTAGGAAAGTCTGTGAGACCCTTATCTCCAATTAACCACACACACACACACACACACACACACACACACACACACACACACACACAGAGCCAGAAATGGAGTTGTGGCTCAAGTGGTAGAGCATTATTAGCCCTGAGCACAAAAGCTAAGGGACAATATCCAGGCCCTGAGTTTAAGCCCCAGGACCAAAAGGGGGGGAAAAAAAATCAAGAAAGGAACATGGATTTGTAGCGCTTGCCATTGGTGAGGTGAAACCCTCACCCCTGAATTCCAGGTGCCCCTGTAACAGAAATCTCTGCCCAGACCTCGACAGCAGCAGAAGGTGCTGCATGCCAACCAGCTCAGGTGCAGAGACTACAGAAGGAAAATGGAAATTAAAAAAAACAGGGCTGGGAAGGTGGCTCAGTGGTAGAGCACTTGCCTTGCATGCATGAGGCCCTGGGTTCAATTCCTCAGCACCACGTAAGCAAAAAGACAAAAGCCAGAAGTGGCTCTGTGGCTCAAGTGGTAGAGCGCTAGCCTTGAGCTGAAGAGCTGAGGGACAGTGCCCAGGCCCAGAGTTCAGGCCCCACGACTGGACCCAAAAAAATAAAAACTGCTAAGAGGTGGACACCAATGTGGCTCATGCCTGAAATCCTGGCTACTCAGGAAGCTGGGATCTGAGGATCATGGTTGGAAGTCCAGCCCGGGAAGGAAATTCCTTGAAGCTCTTATCTCTGAGGAACAAGAAAGAAAGAAAGAAAGAAAGAAAGAAAGGAAGGAAGGAAGGAAGGAAGGAAGGAAGGAAGGAAGGAAGGAAGGAAGGAAGGAAGGAAGAAAAAGGAAGCTAAAAGTGGTTCTATAGCTTTGAGTGAAAAATCCCAGGCCCTGAGTTCAAGCCTCAGGACTGGCACAAAAGAAAATCACTGCCGGGCGCCGGTGGCTCACACCTGTAATCCTAGCTACTCAGGAGGCTGAGATCTGAGGATCATAGTTCAAAGCCAGTCCAGGCAGGAAAGTCAGTGAGACTCTTATCTCCAATAAACCACTAGAAAACCAGAAGTGGTGCAGTGGCTCAAGTGGTAGAGCACTCGCCTTGAGCTAAAGAGCTGAGGCACAGTGCCCAGGCCCAAAGTTCAAGCCCCACGACCGACAAAAAAAAGAAAAAGAAAAAGAAATCACTAAGGCAGGGGGTAATTGTGGCTCTCAGGGAAAGTGAATGAAGTCCAGCAGAGAAAATGCATAGAAATACATAGAAAATACAGATTTTCCAGTCCGCCTTCCCCTTTCCCTCCCCCCACTCCCCATCTCTCTCTGTCTCTCTCTCCTCCCTGCTCCTCTCTGTCTCTGTCTGTCTGTCCAATAGTGTATGTGTGTATCTCTCTCTTTCTCACACACACACACACACACACATACACACACACACATCATGAATTTTCCTAGTCCTGAGATCTGCAGACTTGGCCCCATTGCAGTGAGTTCTACTGCCCAACCCTGTAAAAAGGAGGAGAAGAGCCAGTCATGGCGGCTCACACCTATAATCCCAGCTACTCAGGAGGCAGAGATCTGAGGATGGAGGTTTCAAAGTCAGCCTGGGCAGGAAAGTCCCTGTGAGACACTTATCTCCAATGAACCACCAGAAGACCAGAAGTGGAGTTACAGCTCCACATGGTAGAGTGCTTGCCTTGAGTGAAAAAGTTCAAGGACAGTGCCCAGGCCCTGAGTTCAAGCTCCATTACTGACCAAAAAGAAAAAAAGAACTTTATGGATTTTTAATTTTTTTTAATGTTTATCTAGCAGCTTTTGTAAAGTGCTCTGTAAATGGAAGTAAGTGTTTTAAAGTAAACCAACTGAGTTCCAGCTCAGAATAAATAGAAGTAGTGAGTCCTACTCAGGGCAGAATAGATGAAGCCCCGAGAAAAAAAAAAGGGGGGACTCCTTCCTACAGCACCCCGTGAGGTAGATCAGTCCTGGGGAAGAAAACTGGCAGCAAGCCGGTGGCAAGTCACACCAAGAGCTCCCCTGGGACATCTCCAGTCACCCGGAAGAGGCCGAAGACAGCGTGGGGGGCCAGCTGCCATGCGCGGTGCGCCTCGGCCCCTCCCTGCAGGAGGGCGCTCAGGCGGACACTGAGGCGCTGGCCACCCTGGAGGTCCACCAGGTGACCCCAGAACCCTCCGGCCGGCTTCGAACCCAAATCCTTGGAGGAGCTAATCCGAGGCACGGTGACGGTGAGAGCCAGGTCTGTGGCCTCGGTGGACGGTGGCTGCAGCTGAAGAGTCAGAGACACCTCGCCCTGCGACGGTGGGCCAGCCCTCATCACCCGCCACAGCTGCATCCGCAGGAACACGAAGTACACTCCGGCCTCCGCCACCACCAGCTCGTGACTGCGCTCATCGTAACTCAGGTCGGGGGACAGGATGACGCCTGCGAGGCCCTGCTCGCTGTACCAGCTCAGGGTTCCATTGACCAGTGACACTGGGGGGAAGGAGAGAGGAAAAGGGAAGGTGCTAAGACCCAGATGAAAACGCAGCCCTGGGGAAGGGCCGGCTGGGCTCTAGGGAGCAGACCTGAGTTTAAAGTGGGGGGCAGGAGCAGGGGAGAGATGGGAGGAAGAGATGCCAAGGGAGGAGGAGGAGGAGGAGGAGGAGGACCGCCAAGAATGTGTTGCGAAAGCCAGGGGCTGGTGCTCACACCTGTACTCCTAGCTACTCCGGAGGCTGAGATCTGACAGAGGTTCAAAGCCAGCCTGGACAAGAAAGTCCAGGAGACTCCTATCTCCAACGAATCACCAGAAAACCGGAAGTGGAGCTGTAGTTCAAAGTGGTAGAGTACTAGCCTTGAGGGGGAAAAAGCTCAGGCAAAATAAGAGCTCAGAGTTAGTCGCCAGGCCCTGAGTTCAAGCCTCAGGACCTACAAAACAAAGAGAGAGAGGACGTTGAGGGGGAACAGAGGCAAAGAGACCAGACAGAGAAGTGGCTGCTGCTGGCTCATGCCTGGAATCATAGCTACCGAGGAGGCCGAGATCTGAGGATCTAGGTAAGAGGCCACCTAGGGCAGGAAAGTCCAGGTGACCTTTATCTCTAACCACCAAAAAGCTGGAAGTGGAGCTGTGGACTTAAAGCACCAGCCTGGAGTGAAAAAAGTCAAGTGAGAGCATGAAGCAGAGTTCAAGCCAAAAGACCAGCCCAAAAGAAAGGGGGTATGGAGGAGGGAGGGGAAAAGGAGAGGAAAGGCACCAATGGGTGGGGAGAGGGGAAGAGGATAGTTCAGACATCCCAGAGCCATCCCAGGTCCTGGGGGGGGGGACCCCAGCTCAGAAAGCATGAGTGGGAGCTGAGTTTGGACGGGCTCTGGTGAGAAAAGGCTGGAACAGTTCCACAGGGGCGGGCTGGGAGGTTGGGAAGGGAGGGAAGGCACTGGGGCGGGGGGGGGGGGGGGGGGATGTCGGGACGGGGCTGTGGTCAGGCAGGCTCTCTTTGTCCCCTCTCCCTGCTGCCCTCCCGTCCCGACAGAGGACAGATAGACAGACAGACAGACAGAGGACCCATGACACTCACCATTTTTGGCCAGCAGCTTGGCAAACGTTGGCTGTTCCTGGAAAGAAAGGAAGATGGAGGTGTGGTGCCCATGTCCTCTGTGCCTGGGAAATTGGGGGACCCCCCCTTTTGCCCACACTCAGAGCAGGCCTGGCATCCAAGCTAAACCCCCACCACTTTCCCCTGCCAAAGAACACGGGGATGTGGTTAGGGGCCCAGCAAGTCCCCACCCCACGCTGGGCACAAGGGCAGGCCCCAGGGCACGGGAATGGGGAAGCAGGGAGACCCAGGGAAGCAGAAGGAACTGGGGTCCCCTGAAGACGTTGAAAGGAAGAGGGAGGGTACCTCCAGAGGGTTTCAGGACATAACCAGGCTCTATGGGAGCAAGTGGGATGTAAAGGAGTTCCCTGTGTTTTGAGATAAATAAGTGCCCTTTAGAGCCCAGGTTGGGGGTAAAGGTTCATGCCAGGTGAACCTCTATGCTCCAGGGAGTACAGAATGAAAAGGGGGTGTTCGTGGGGTGCCGGGGACTCACACCTAGAATCCTAACTACTCAGGAGGCTGCAATCTGAGGATCATGGTTTGAAGCCAGTCCAAGTGAGAAAGTCCCTGAGACTCATAGCTTTCATTAACCACCAGAAAGCTGAAAATGGAGCTGTGGCTCCAGTAGAAGCCAACTTTGAGTGAAAAGGCTAAGGGGTCCAGGAAGGTGGCTCGGTGGTAGAGTGCTTGCCTAGCATGCATGAAGCCCTGGGTTTGACTCCTCAGCACCACATACACAGAAAAAGCCGGAAGTGGCGGTGTGGCTCAAGTGGTAAAGGACCAGCCTTGAGCAAAAGAAGCTCAGAGACAGCACCCAGGCCCTGAGTCCAAACCCAAGGACTGGTCCAAAATACATGAACATACATACTATGCAAATATGGATACATACATAAACAAAAAGAGACGTTCTGAAAAGGGGAAAGAGAGGGAAGTGGGGGGGGGGGGGGTACAAGAAGGGGGTGATCTCAGTGGAGGGGGGGAAGGCGGGGGTCTCCTCCCCCAGTCCCACGGCCGCCCCTGGGGGACAGGGAACCTGCAAAGATGCATCCTGAGAAGGCGCGCGCGCCATCCAGATGCCAGGGGGAGACAATCCCCCCCAAAAGAGGACAATGTGGGGGTCCCAGCCCCCGAGATGGGGTGCAGAAGGGCTGTTCCAAGAAGGAGGGAGATGGGAAGGGGTGGGGGTGGGGAGGTCTCACCGGCTGGGGCGCGCCTGGACGCCCGGCCTGGGCGCCGGGGGTCTGGCAGCCGTCGGGGGGCGCCGTCGAGGGGACCGCGCATTCTCGGGCCGCCCAGGGTCCCCACAGCAGCAGCAGCAGCAGCAGCAGCAGCGCGGTGGCGGCGGCGGAGGCAAAGGCGGCGGCGGCGGCGGCGCCCAGGACCCGGGGTAGCTGGCGGGGTGCGGGCGGCGCGGCCAGCGGCCGGGGCGCCTCGGCGTCCGCGGGGGCCTCGGGGGCGTGGGGGCGCGGGTCCATGGCCGCGAGTGGTGGCGCGAGCGGCGAGCAGCTGCCCGCGGGAAGGGGGACCCCGCTTTATAGCATCCGGAAGCCCTGCCTTCCGGGGCGGCCCGCGGGGATCTCGCGCTGCAGGTCCCTCCGGGGAACTTGTGCCGCCGCCCCTCCCCTCCGCCCGCACCCAGGGGTGGGGTGCGTCCCACGCGACGGCCCCCCCCCCTCCCCGCAGCGTCTCCTCTGAGGATTCCCGGTAGCTGTCCCCCCACCCCCACCCCGTCTGCCCTCTCCATCCCTGCGCCTCCTGTTTATAGATCTCGTTTTTGTGTGCCCATCCCGGGGCTTGAACTCGCGGCCCCCGGCGTCGTCCCTGCGGGCCCTGCCCGCCTGCACCACAGCCCCACTTCCAGATTTGGGGGGGGGGAGGGTCGTGGGGCTTGAACTCTGGGCCTGGGCACTGTCCCTGCGCTCTTCAGCTCAAGGCTAGTGCTCTACCACTTGGGCCACAGCGCCACTTCCAGTTTTCTGATGGTTTATTGGAGATCAGAGTCTCAGGGACTTTCTTGCCATGGCTGGCTTTGAACCTCGATCCTCAGATCTCAGCCTCCTGAGTAGCTAGGATGACAGGCATGAGCCGCTCGGTGCCCCACGCTACTATCTCCAGCCTTTCTGGCTGTTCATTGATGATGAGAATCTCACGGGGCTTTCCTGCCCTGGGTGGCTTTGAACCTGGAACCTCCATCCTCAGATCTCAACCTCCCGATCGGCTGGGATTCCAGGCGGCACCGGGCCTCCTCTCTCACTTTCAGGATCTTGTCTCTCTGCGTTTCTTGCTCCTCCTTGCAATCTCCTAGCTCCCCACCACTGAGACTCCCCAAGTTCCCTCAACCCCAGGCTCTTGAGAGTCAGGCTTAGCATCCCCATTCCCTTGCCTCTTCCTATCGGGGACCCCTGGGCCTTCTCTGGCCTGCCCCCACCCACCTACTGGATGCTTCCTGTCAGAAGTTTTTCTGGACCCCCAAAGCAGAAGGCTGGAGAGTCCAGGGGGGAAAATTCCCTCCCCCTTCCCCCTGTGGCCAAGGATGAGTCTGAACACTAGTTTAGAGGAAACACCAATTTCCCGCTAGCCCTGCTGGCAGAGGCGGGGAGAAGCTGCTCAAACCTGACCCCAAAAGAGGAATCGAGAGGGGCTTCCACCTTGAAGACCGAGCTCTGGCTGACAGTCCATACCCCATGGCAGGGAAATGCCCTCCATGCACAGAAACAACTGCCCCTGAATAGAGGGGGGAGGATTACCACCCCTGGGGATGGAAGCCATGGAGCCCCAAAGTCTGAATGCTAATGATACTGAACAAGGGTGACTGATACCAGCCCTGTGTCTGAGCCTCACTGAAGAATTCAAGACAAAGCCATCCTTGATGCTAGCCAGACTAAGGGAAAACAATTTTTTTTTAATTTAAGATTTGCTGTATTCAGGCAGAACGCTCAGATTCATCACTGATTAGACCCCAAGGGGATCACATTTGAAAACAGGGTGCTGTGGGGCCACCCCCTCTGAAGCAGTTTAAAAGAAGTTTTTTTGTTTGTTTGTTTTTTGTCAATCATGGGTCTTGAACTCTGGGCCTGGGCGCTGTCCCTCAGTTCTTCAGCTCAAGGCGAGCGCTCTACCACTTGAGCCACAGTGCCACTTCTGGTTTTTTTGGTGGTTCACTGGAGATAAGTCTCATGGACTTTCCTGCTCAGGCTGGCTTTGATCCTCGGATCTCAGCCACCTGAGTTGTTAGGATTACAGGCGTGAGCCACCAGCGCCCAGCTAGAAATATTTTTTAACAAACATACATAGATACATTCATACATACACACATACATATATAAATGTGATGTACAAAGGGGTTACAGTTACGTAAGTCCAGGTGATGTCACTCCTTCCCTTGCTCTCTAGGTTTTCCCTCCTGTCCCCACCCACAAGTTGTAGAGTTCATTTTCTCTCTTTATAATTTACTGTTATTATAGAGGCGATATATGGAGAGGTTATATTCCTATGAGGCACATAATGAGTACATTTCCTTTCGTACAGTGTCATTTCTTCCCTCATTTTTACAGGAATTGTTTTAACTCATTAAACTCATCATGGAGTCCGAGCGTCGACCGGGTTCGTTATGCAAATTCTGGAAACCACCTCCCATACATTGGAGTCTTGGCGGTGAACGTTACTATCCGAAAGTGTCACTTTTGGAGGACGAAGCCCCTGGGAAGGCCTGGCCAGATTAGGGGATTCTGAAAGCCCACCTTCTTGGGCCCCTCCTTGGTCACTGTCGAACCCCCAACCCCATCTACAGTGGCACACCAAACACCTCCACTTTTGTCATCTCCAGCCAAACTCTCCTTGTGAACAAACTAGTGAAATGTCACCCTTGAAACTTCATCGCCAGGACAGTCAGACAAATTCAAGCAAACATAACAAACTAGGAGACGACTCAGTCTAGCACCCCCTCCTCAACTCACTGGGGAACCCCCAGCCCAATTCCGGAGGGCGTCAGAGATTGCGAAAAGAGAATTTGCTAAAGTCACCCTCCTCTGTGTCCGCGCTGGAATGGTTTTAGAAGCCAGGCACTCGTGGCTCACGCCTGTCATACTAGCTACTCAGGAGGCTGAGATCGGAGGGTCTGGGTTCAAAGCCAGCCCAGGCAGGAAAGTCCATGAGACTTGTCTCCAATTAACCACCAAAAAGCTGGAAGTGAAGCTGTGGTTCAAGGAGTAGGGAACCAGCCTTAGGGGGAGGGGGGGTGGAGCCGGGAGCCAAGCAAGGGCTGGGAATGTGGCTTAGTGGTAGAGTGTTTGCCTAACATGCATGAAGCCCTGGGTTCAATTCCTCAGTACCACATCCACAGAAAAACTGGAGGTGGCTCTGTGGCTCAAGTGGTAGAGTGCTAGCCTTGAGCAAAAGAAGCTCAGGGACAGTGCCCAGACCCTGAGTTCAAGCCCCAATACTAGTACAAGGAAAGAAAAGCTTTTTATTGTTTGGTTGGTTTCCTTTTTGTGGGGGGGTGATCTCTATAAGAATGTTACCTCGTGGAGTTTCTGAATGGAAGAACCCAGTTAGGGGAACTGAAAACTAGAAAAGTTAATGAACTTGCCTTCTCTATCCCAACAGCCTCCGCGAGAGACATCCATCCGGGGCTCTGAGATTCCTGCGTCCTCAGCTCGCAGGATGGTTCCCTCAGGTTTGTCTGTCTTGACCTGGGCCCTGTACTACAAGCCTCTGCCCGCACCTCTGTGGGTCCCTTTGTCCTCTCTGTCTCTCTGGCCCCGTGTCCTTCGCCTCTCCCTGACCCTCCGAGGGATCCTTCCTCCTCCGCCTCGTGCTTTGCTTTGCTCAGGGCACTCGTGTCTTCCTGTGACTTCAAGGCCTGCCAAAGTGGCCACGTGCGCATGCGCCCATTTCAGGTACGCATGAGTTTTAGAGTACTGAGGCTTGAACTCGGGCTTCTCCTTTCTAAGCTGGGTGCTTTACCCTTTGAGCCACGTCATCAGTTCAACAAGCCTCTAGCTAGACTGATTTAGAAAAAAATGAAAGAAGGGGGCTGGGAAGGTGGCTCAGTGGTAGAGTGCTTGCCTTGCATGCTTGAGGCCCTGGGTTCGATTCCTCAGCACCACATAAGCAAAAATAAAAAAAGCCAGAAGTGGCACTGTGGCTCAAGTGGTAGAGCGCTAGCCTTCAGCTGAAGAGCTGAGGGACAGTGCCCAGGCCCAGAGTTCAGGCCCCACGACTGGACCCAAAAAAAAAAAAAAAGAAAAAAATGAAAGATGATTCCTATTACTAAAAGCAGAACTGAAGAATCTCACAGAAACAAAAAAGGCTTATGAGAGAACACAATGAACAACTGTAAGCCATCGTATTAGATAACCTGTTGGAATGGCCAAACTTTTCAAGAAGAAATAGAAAATCTGAATAGACCTATGAGAAGTATCAAATTGGTAATCAAAAACTCCTAACTGAGAAAACCCAGGACCAAAATGACTTTCATCAGTAAATTTCTATTGAACACTTAAAGAAACATTAACACTAATGTTCTCCAATTCATCCTCAAAGAAGGAACATTGCCTAACTTATTCTCTGGGAGGCAAGCTGTACCCTGATAGTGAAGTCCAACAAGAGAAAACTACAGTGTGATATCCTTTATGAGAAAAATGCAAAACCCAGCATCTATTTACTCCCACTTCCTGAATAGAAAGCAGGAAATGTTTCTCTTTTCTCTTTCATTTCTCTCTATTTTAATCCTGCCATACTAAAATCCTCAGCAAAATTCTCAGTAAAATACTAGTAAACTAAGCCAGTTGCATGTTAGATTATATACCATGACCAGGTGGGGTTTACTTCAGAAATATAAAGGTGGCCACATAAGAAAATCAGTGTAACACCACAAGTACTACTGTCATATTCCTCAAAATATATGTCTAAATCCTAATCCTTTCAGTACCTCCTATTTAAATAGTAGCTTTGTAGATGTAGTCAAGCTGAGGTCATACTGACTTAGGGAGCCCCAATCCAACCACTGGTACACACACATGATCGAAAACTTTGTGCATAGGGACGTATAGGGCTGTAAAGAGGAGAAAAATCATATGAAGATGGAGGTGGAGAACTGAGTAATTTATCCACAAGCCAAGGAATGTCCAAGATTGTTGTCAACCTTCAGAAGCTAAGAAAGAGCAAGGAAAGATTCTTCCTCAGCCTCCTAAATAAACCAACCCTGCTAACACCTTAGCCTTGGTCTTCTGGCCTCTGAACTGTGAGAGAATAAATTTCTGATGAGTTTAAAAAAAAAGTTAATGAACTTGACTGAAGAACACATTAAAACCCCCAGCCCACCACAGCCCCAGCATCCAGAGTCCGGGTACCAACCAGGAAGACAGACAGATAGATACAGACGTAAAATGACCTCTTGACAGCAGCACAGCCAAGAAGCTCACATGCCCAAACTGAAAGAAAAGCATAGAAAAAGACAAAGGATCTGGGAAGGTGGCTTAGTGGTAGAGAGCTTTCCTAGAATGCATGAAGCCCTGGGTTCTGTTCCTCAGTACCACATACACAGAAAAAGCTGGAAGTGGTAATGTTAGCCTTGAGCAAAAAGAAGTTCAAGGACAGTGCCCAGGCTCTGAGTTCAAGCCCCAGAACAGGCACCAAAAAAAAAAAGTCTGTGCAGTAATAAGCAGAGGAAAGGGGGCTTTTCTGTGTGTGAGAGAGAGCCAGGAAAGAGATGGTAGTGTTCTTTTTGTTTATTGTGGGACTTGAACTCAGGGCCTGGGCACTGTCCCTGAACTTTTGTGCTCAAAGCTAGCACTCTACTACTTTGAGCCACAGCACCACTTCTGGTTTTCTGGCAGTTAATTGGAGGTAAGAGTCTCTGGATTTTCCTTCCAGGGCTGGATTCAAACTGTGGTCCTCAGATCTCACCTCCTGAGTAGTTAAGATTGTAGGCATGAGCCATCAATGCCTGGCTGATGGTAGATTTTGCAGGAAGGAAAGAACACAGAGAAAAGCAATGTGTACCCCAAGCTCACCCAGGCTGGACTCTGGTCTTCTTGGGAGCCTCAATAAGCCAGAATAACACAGGTCTGATGCATAGGCATATGCACCAAGGCAGTGCATTATTGTGATAATGGGTAGGTGGGTAGATGAGAAGAAGAATGCACAGGTGATGGATGGATTGATGGATGGATGGATAGATGGGTAGATAAATGAACTGATAGGTGAATGGATGGATGGATGGGTAGATAAATGGACTGATAGGTAAAGAGATGGATGGATGGGTAGATTAATGGGCTGATAGGTGAATGGATGGATGGATGGGTAGATTAATGGGCTGATAGGTAAAGAGATGGATGGATGGGTAGATTAATGGGCTGATAGGTGAATGGATGGATGGATGAGAAGATAGACAGAGGTGTCTGTTGCAAGACTGTGTTAAACAGAAATGACCTGAGCAGTTGTGAGAAGGGAAACAGCCAGATGTTTGTTGGTAGACTATGTTTGCTAATGAAGTGGCAAATATGGCTAACTCAACTTCTGGAACCTCAGAGATCTCAAATAAAGTGAGGTACAGGATGCTGTGACTAGAACACAGGCTTGTCCCAGAGCTGCGATCTACTTGCAGAAAACATTTCTGGAAGGTATGCAAAGATGCAGTGGTCAGGGGGAAGCCTTGTATTCTATGTGGCTTTCCATCTACTGGATTTTCCATGTGTTGAGGTTTTCGATTATTTGGTTTTGGGGTTTTTTTTGCTTTTTTTTTTTTTAACACGAAGCACAGATTGTGGTAAGTTATGCACACAAAGAAACCAGAGCCACAGCTGCTTCAAACAGGGGAAGGTTTGGCCAGCATGAAAGGCAAGAAATAGTGTTTCTCCACTAAAGCGAATGGAAACGTGGGGGTGGCTGAGGGCACCAGCCAAGGGGCCCACACCAGCTGCTCTGTGGAAAGGGGACCCCAGCAGGACCTCTGGTTGGAAGGCATTCTCCAGCCTTCTCCCTTTGGGAGACACACATATTGAACAGATAGAGGAACACACAAGAGGGGCTGGGACGGTGGCTCAGTGGTAGAGCTCTTGCCTTGCATGCCTGAGGCCCTGGGTTCGATTCCTCAGCACCACATAAGCAAAAAGAAAAAAGCCGGAAGTGGCACTGTGGCTCAAGTGGTAGAGCGCTAGCCTTGAGCTGAAGAGCTGAGGGACAGCGCCCAGGCCCAGAGTTCAGGCCCCACGACTGGACCAAAAAAAAAAAAAGGAACACACAAGAAGACCCACACCGAGAATATATAAAATCACACTAGCAGCCGGGCGCTGGTGGTTCACGCCTGTAATCCTAGCTACTCAGGAGGCTGAGATCTGAGGATCGCGGTCCAAAGCCAGCCCGGTCAGGAGAGACCATGAGACTCCTATCTCCAATAAACCACCAGAAAACTGGAAGTGGCACTGTAGCTCAAGTGGTAGAGTGCTCGCCTTGAGCTGAAGAGCTGAGGGACAGCACCCAGGCCCAGAGTTCAAGCCCCATGACCAACCAAAAAAAAAAAAAAAATCACACTAGCTAGCCAGGAGCTGGTGGCTCACACTTGTAATCCCAGCTACTCAGCTACTGGCTGAGATCTGAAGATTATACTTCAGAGCCAGCCTGAGCAAGAAAGTCCGAGAGACTCTTATCTACAGTTAACCAAGAAAGACGTGGAGCTCTGGGTGAAGAGGTAGAGTGCTAAGCCTTGAGCAAAACAAAGTTCAGGGATGGTGGCCAGGACCTGAGCTCAAACCCAAGGATTGGCACACACCCCCCAAAAAATCAATCAAGACAAATAATACATCGTGCATACATACAACCAAGACAAATACATCATGCCGACATGCATACACACATACCTGGACACAGACACACAATCACAGCTAACCAAGAACAAGCTAGCCACAGACACTGAAAGGACACAGGGGTCATAGAGTCCCAGCTTCCTTGGGACTCACAGACAGACAGACAGACAGACACACACACACACACACACACACACACACACGGATACACAGACCTCTAGAGGCCATGGCCCGGGCGCTGACTTGGGGAAGCCATGCAGGGCTTCGCAGTTTGCACGCGGGGCACTGTGCTGGCTGGGCACACACAACCCTCCCGCCCCCCCTCCCCATCCCCTTCATCTCCCGCCCCCTCCTCCTCGGAGCCCCGGGGCAGGGGGGGGGGCGGAGGGCGCCCCGAGTGTGCAGCGGGCGCCCCCTGGTGGACGGCCGCCTCGGCGCAGGGTGGGGAGAGACGGAGTGCAGAACTGGGGGGACCGCGGCGGAACCCGGAGCGGAGCGGGAAGAGCGCGGACGCGGCCAGGGTCGAATCCCGGGACAGCGCCCGGGAAGCAGAGCCGCGGGGTTGGAGAACTCTACGACTGAAGAAGCACCCCGAGACCTCCCCGCGGGGCTGGGGTCCCCGCCGGTCCCCGCCGGTCCCCGCCGTTTCCGAAGCCGTGGAGAAGCCTGGGACCCCTAAGGGCGATTCCCATTGGGCGGCGCCCGGCCAATGAGGCGCGGGAGGGAGGGGCGGTGGCCGTTGCTGCTCTCAGATCTTCGGGGTTCCCTCCCCCCTGTCATGGAGCTCAACCAGAAAGTGTCCACCGAGGGGTCGCCAAAGACCTGGACCAGCCAGAGATCAGCCAGGTTTACCAACTCCGACGTGACGTTGGCCTGTGAGTCTAAGGAAAAGCTGGGGTCTCTCCCCGCCTCCCCCCACTTCTAGGGTCTTAACCGGGTTTTCCATCCCGGGGCCCATTTCCTCAGTCATTCTCCTTAGGCCCCGCCCATTCCCCCCGACTCCCAGGCTCCGCCCAGTTCCCCCCAGGCTCCACCCAGTTCCCCCACGCCTGCCATTCTCCTTAGGCCCCGCCCATTCCCCCCCGACTCCCAGGCTCCGCCCAGTTTTCCCCAGGCTCCACCCAGTTCCCCCACGCCTACCATTCTCCTTAGGCCCCGCCCATTCCCCCCTAGACTCCCAAGCTCCACCCACTTCCCCCAGGCTCCACCCAGTTCCCCCACGCCTGCCATTCTCCTTAGGCCCCGCCCATTTCCCCAGCCTCCCAAGCCCTGCCCAGATCCCCCACGCCTGTCATTGTCCACAGGCCACGCCCACTTTCCCAGTCATCAACCTCCAGTTGGCTCTGCACTCCTGTCCCTCCCACTTCCTCTTCATTCTCCCTAGCCCCTTTCCCTTTCCCAGATAGCATCCCCTGCCTTGATCATTTCCTCCCTTCCACTTACCTGTCAATCTCCCGAAGGCCTGCCCTTTTTTTCCACCCTCCCTTGTCCCAGGGCCCATCCACATAGATAAGACAGACCCCACTTCACACCCCTGGTGTGAGTTAGAACTCCCAAACCTAGTGAGAAAGGCCTCTGTGTCCCCAGCCTCCCCTTCCTTGGGGATGTCCCCTCCCCCCTTTTCCCTCTCCCCCCCACCTCCTTCTAGGTAATAGTCTTAGCCCACGTCTCTCCCGCTCATGAACTCTAATTCCCAGCTGGGGTGGTACGTCCACCCCCGGCCTCCACTCTCGCCCCACAGCAGCTCCACCACCACACACAGTCAAGGCTGTGGGCAGAGGCAGAGAGCCCCCACCCCCTCCACTGCTGAGCTCCAGGACCTCCAAGGTGTTGGTGGCTTTGGACGTCTTCTGTGTGATACTGGGTGAGCTCCACTCCTCAGACACAGAACTTAAGGGTTTATGGGAAGAAAGGGCTATATGTACATAGCTGGGTATCTGTTTTATCTTTTGGTTTTTTGGTGGTTGTCTGTGTGTTCCTGTGTATACATGCTGTTTGTACCTGGGTTTCCAGGTGACTCACGTGCATGCCCATGTATATAGTTGGCACTAACTGTGTGCACTGGGGGCCTGTGTGTAGACTAGGTCTGTGTCTCTGTATCTCCCTCAGTGGCTGTGTAGGCACACATGTCTAAGCCCAGACACACACATACCCCACGTAGTTACCTCATTCCCCCAAAGCTAAGGACATCTTCTTTACCCTCCTCCCTGCAGTGAGCACCCCCACCTTGCTGGTTGAGAAGGGCTTAGTAGCACCCCACTTCCAGGGCTTCTTCTGCAATGATACTAGCATCAAGTACCCTCAGGTATCACACTACATCATGGAGGACTCCGCCATCACCACCATAGGCTTCTTAATCTTCATCTTCATGGTAAGAGGCAGACCAAGTTCACCCCAGTCCTGAGGCAACCACCAGGCATAAAGCAGCAGGGAGTCCCATCTTTTTAATGACATGGGGGAATGGGGATCTGCGTTGTTCTTATCACCTGATGCAGCCCCACAGCCATTCTTGGCAGTTCCCTCCTGAAGCAATTTTCGGGGGGGGGGGGGGAATGTCACCTGTCCAAAAGTGTGCATTGTCTCCCAGTGGAGCTTTTTGGCAACTGCCTGAGTAGATGTCCTTGATTGGCTTGTACCTAAACTCCCCACTCCTCCATGCTCCTTGTACCTCCAGCTCTGTTCAGTGCTACTCAGCACTCCTCTCCAGAGATGAGTAAAATCTGATCTGGTCTGTGGAGACCTGTGCCCCCATCTTCCCTGCTATCGGCTTGATCTTTCCTAACCGTGGGAGCTCACTCACACTACTTGATGGCGTAGAAGGAACCATTCTCCGAGAAAGAGATAAGGCGTGGCCCTGGGAGACTCAGAAAGGAAGGAAAGAACATTGCCTCCCCCTGTCAAACAGGGAAATAGTCTGCCTCTTTCCCTGGGTGACCAGGAAAAGTCTGACAAGGATATCTGTCTTCCTTGCTTGGTGCCTTCCAGGAAATTGCACCCACTTCAGACATGGGACAGGAAATTCCACCTAGGCCTGGCATTCCCTTTTCCTGTCTGAACAGGAAGTCCCACCCTTTTCAGACATGGAAAAGGAAGTTCTGTGGTACTATAAAATAGGGAGGCTTTCCACCCCTTTTCTTGGTGAAATAGACAGCCTGCCTCTTTGCTATTAACCTAGGGATGGGGAAAGGCGCCCATTTTTTGTGTGTGAGGCAATGAGAAGCTGCAAAAGGGAGGGACTTCCAATCCCTATTCCCCTTCAGACCCCCAAAATATGGTCTTTGCCCCACTCCGTTGCCCTGTGTCCCCACAGATCAGCCTGGGTGAGATGATTCTAGTCTGGAGCCTGCCCCTGGGCTCACAGGCCATGGTGACCACCTACGTGACCCTGGTCTACAAACAGCTGGGCACCTTCATCTTTGGTGCCATGGCCAGCTCCTCTCTGACCAGCATCGCCCAGATGACCACAGGGCACTTGCGCCCCCACTTCCTAGCTGTGTGCCTGCCAGATCCCACCACCTTTAGCTGTGAGAGCAGCTACATCGCCAACTACACGTGCACAGGGAACCCCTCCGACGTCCTGGAAGCCAGGCGAGTGGGGTTCAAGACTCCCAGGAAGCCGCCTCAGCCCTACTCTGCTTTGTTCACCTTCACACTGATCCCAGCTCTCCTCCCTGTCCACCTCCCAGGAAATCCTTCTATTCCAAGCAAGCCTCCTTCGGGATGTACTGCATGGTGTATCTGGTGGTGAGTGAGAGGGAGGGAGACCAGAGGACACTCCATTGTGCCCTCCTCCTCCACCCTCCCATCCTCCCTCCCCTGCTCCCCCCCACCACGACACCCATGGTGTCAAAGGAGCCAGGCACTGCTTGCTCAGAACACACAGTGTGTGTGCTCACAGTGACAAAGGATTCTGTCCTCTGAAGCTTCATTCAGTAGCCCTGTCCCCTCTCCACAGCTGCAGAGGGGCCCTGCCAGGCAGTGCACAGGGAAAGGCCATTAGACCCAGAGGGGACAGAGACAGGGACAGGAGGGAGCTTTGACAGTGGTGATGCCATAAAGTCGAAGTCACAGAATAGCTTCTGCTTCCTACGGTAATCAATGGCCCGGGAGCCGTGGGCTTGAATGCACAGGATCTACAGGCCTGAATTCCCAATTCCACCGTGTATGCAGTAGGGTCAGATAGCACCCCACAGGCCTCTGCTTCCACATCTGTCAAATGGGCACCTTCCATGCCTACGGATGTGATTGCCTAGGAACAGCATAAATGGACACTTAGAACAGATGTGGTAGACCTGGGGCTTGAACTCAGGGCCTGGGGGCCATCCATTCGCTTTTTTACGCAAGGCTACTACCTCTACCACTCCAGCCACAGCTCCACTGTTGGCTTTTTTTTGTGATTCATTGGAGGTAAGACGCTCATGGAGTTTCCTGCCCAGGCTGGCTTCGAACCATGGTCCTCAGATTTCAGCCTCCTGAGTAGCTAGGATTATAGGCGTGAGCCGCCAAAGACCAACTAGCTGTTATTCATTTATAAAAGCAAAACTCCTTTCTCCCCTTTCCAAGAGTGGACTGGGAGGCCAGAAGGATGCACCAGCAAAGTTGCCAGACTCACTCACAAGACAGAAATGTGTCCTGTCATGGTGGGTTCCCTCCCCCCTCACCTCTGAGCAAAGACAGAGCCCACAAGACTCTCTCAGGTTTTGCAGAACGTTCTGGTCCTCTAGAATTCCTCACATGCCAATGGCTTCTCCCAGGAAACAGTAGCCACTTTCTTTCTGCACCCAGCAAGGAACCTGAGTAAGCTGGTATTTTAAAATGACAACTTGGTGGGTTTTTTTTTTTTTTCCCTCTTTTGGCTTTTTGTGACAGGGGCTCACTTTGTAGTCCAATTGGTCTGGAACTCACAATCCTCTGCTTCACCTTCTAAGTGTTGGATCACAGATTGGTATCACCTAGCTAAAATGAGAACTTTTTTGCTTTCTGTTTCCTATTCCAAAGTCAGAAATCCAATCTGCTTTGTAGTTGTGTGTATGCACATGAGTACATGTGTGCGTGCGTGCGTGCGTGTGTGTGTGTGTGCATGCATGCATGTGTGTGTGTGTGTGTGTGTGTGTGTGTGTGTGTGTGTGTGTATGCTGGTACTGGGCTTAAACTTAGAACCTGGTGCTCTCCCTTTTCTGATCAAGGCTGGCATTCTACCACTTGGCTTTTGGCTGGTTTGGTATAGGTAAGGGTCTCACAGATTTATCTAGGCAGGCTGGCTTTGAACCTCAGGTCTCAGTTTCCTGAGTAGTTGGGATTACAGGCATAGCCACCTGTGCCCAGCAGCTTTGCCTGTGAAGGTTCCCTGATAACACCCTCCCGGTTTGGGAGATGGGTGGATTGATTTTGCAGTGCTAGGGATCAAATCTGAGACCTGACCTTGAACCTCAAACATGCTAGGCACGGACTGTACCACCTCAGAGCTCCACCCTGACCTTCGGCCCACCTTGAGGGGTCCCCAGGACATTGCTGGGCATCAGGCCCACCCAACAAGCATATGAACTTCTCAGCCACCTCCCAGCACTCTGGTACAAGAGATAGATAAAGCTCTCTTACAATGATGGATGGTATCACCATCCATCTTTCCTGTGCTGAATTACCTTTTCACACAAAACTGTCAGGGGTGTATGTCCTTTGACAGTTTTAGCCTGCCAAGGTCAGTGGGCAGCTAACCACACCAAAAAAAGCCCAGCCTGGTGGCTCACACTTGTCACCTGAGCGCCTCAGGGGGTGGAGATCTGGGGAAATCAGAGTTTCAGGCCACCCTAGACCAAAAAGAAAAAAACAGTATCTGTTAGATCTCCTCCTCTTAACCAACTGGCTGGACACAGTGGCTCACATTTGCCGTTCCAGCCATGTGTGGGAGGTCTAAATAGCAGGCTTGTCATCCAGGCAGCAGTAGGAGAAAAACCAGGACAAGCTATGTGAACAGTAACTAAAGGAAAAAAGAAAACCAAAAAATCGCTGGGGGCGTGGCCCAAGGCTCCAGTGTTTGGAGGCGTGGCTTGAGCGGTTTGGGGGTGTGGCTTGAGCAGTTGGGCGTGTCTTTGTTGTTTGGGGCGGGGTCTCGTGGTGGAGGCGTGGCTTGTAGAACACCTTCTTAGCAAGCTCAAGGCCCTGAACTTCAAACCCCAGTACCCACCCTCCTCCCATCACACACACACAAAAGCAGCAGTGCTTCTCGCTGTGGGCCACCTGGTTCCTCAAGGCGCTGTCCCTCTACCCCAGCTCTACATGCAGGCCCGCCACTGGGGAACGATGAACAGGCTCCTGCGGCCCACCATCCAGTGCTTCTTCCTGCTCCTGGCGCTGTTCCTCGGCTATTCGCAGACGCAGAATCACCGGCACCACCCTTTGGACACGGTCACCGGGTTCCTGCAGGGAGCCGTGATGGCTCTGTGGGTGGTAGGCCACGCTGGGGTACCAGGATTGGGGTACCAGGATGAGGCCTCCTGGGAGGGGCTGGCCCACAGCACCCACCCCAACCCCTCTACATCCACTTCATCTCCACAGGCTTTTTATATCGCTGGACTTTCTACATCCCAAGCAACGTCAAAACCCAGCAGCCCCAGAGGTTAGAAGGCCACCTTCCTCTCTGTTCCCAGCATCCCTCCCCACAACCCCTCCGAGGGCTTCGAGGACCCCAAAGAATGCGGTGATAGAGAGGAAGGCAGAGAGGGTTCCTGAAGACCCTGCAATCCCCAGGAAGCTGCACCTGTCAGGTGCTCGATTCCAATTCAGTGGATGACACCCCAATTCAGTGGATGACACCCCAACTCCATTCTCCATGGAGTTCACACACTAAATCAATCCTGGCAGGCTGTCCTCTGTTTTCAATCTTGTTATTTTGTTTGGTATTTAAAAAAAAAAAAACCTCTTGATATATTAAAAATAATTAAGAAATGCAGAGCTTATTAATTCTTTTTTTTTTTTTTTTGGTCTTTCATGGGGCTTGAACTCTGGGCCTGAGCACTGTCCCTCAGCTCTTCAGCTCAAGGCGAGCGCTCTACCACTTGAGCTACAGCACCACTTCCGGTTTTCTGGTGGTTTATTGGAGATAAGTTTCACAGATTTCATGAAGATATCAAAATTTATTCAGTAAATGAAGGCAGAGAAGATTCTACATCCACCCTTAGCATGCTAGTAACATAGAAATAGCCAGCTAAAACAGAACGTTCTCTCATTTTGTAATTGTCCATACTATAAAGTACAGACTCTAAGGAGCACAGAATAAGATATGAGGATATGTACTTAAAATTTTGTCTCACATGGAAGTCATAATTTGAGAGATATAAAAGATTTGTTAAAAATCTGTTAAAAAAAAAAAAAGTTTCACAGACTTTCTTGCCCGGGCTGGCTTTGAACCTTGATCCTCAGATCTCAATAGCTAGGATTACAGGCGTGAGCCACCAGCGCTAGCTAGGATTACAGGCGTGAGCCACCAGCGCCCTGCAGAGTTTATGAATTCTTGTTTACATGTTCACATGGTTGGGTGGGCTCTAATTCTGAGGCATGAGGTCTCTGTGGCGAATTGTAACAACCCATGCCCAATAACCTTAAATTCTAAGATGTAGTCAGCCTGCCCAGACACTGCTGATACTGAGGAGCCCATGATTCCTGGTCTGGGTACTGCCTGATGCCTTGTGAATTGACCGGCAATCTCCCCAGCCACCTTCCACCCCATGCCAAGAATGCGAAGCAGCAATGAATGAGTCCCCAGAGCAGCTGGGTGTGATTGTCATGCCTGTAATCCCAGCATGCAGGAAACAGAGGCAGGAGGGCTGCAAGTTCCAAACTAGCCTGGGCTGCACAGCAACACTGTCAAAGATACAAAGATGGGAGGAAAAGAGAAAGAATTATTCGCTCAAAAATAACCAGGGTTGGGCTGGGAAGGTGGCTCAGTGGTAGAGTGCTTGCCTTGCATGCATGAGGCCCTGGATTCGATTCCCCAGTACCACATAAGCAAAAAGAAAGAAAGCCGGAAGTGTGGCTCATGGGGTAGAGCGCTAGCCTTGAGCTGAAGACTGAGGGATAGGGCCCAGGCCCAGACTTCAGGCCCCACGACTGGCAAAAAAAAGGAAGAAAAAAGAAAGAAAGAAAGAAAAGGAAGGAAGGAAGGAAGGAAGGAAGGAAGGAAGGAAGGAAGGAAGAAAGAAAGAGGAAGGAAGGAAGAAAGAAAGAGGAAGGAAGGAAGAAAGAAAATGGGGAGGGGGTTGGTGAATGTAGCTCTTTGGTGAGAGAAAAAAAGTATGTCAATAAATACATACAGGGGCTGGGAAGGTGGCTCAGTGGTAGAGCACTTGCCTTGCATGCCTGAGGCCCTGGGTTCGATTCCTCAGCACCACATAAGCAAAAAGAAAAAAGCCGGAAGTGGCGCTGTGGCTCAAGTGGTAGAGCGCTAGCCTTGAGCTGAAGAGCTGAGGGACAGCGCCTAGGCCCAGAGTTCAGGCCCCACGACCGGACCCCCCTCCCAAAAAAAATAAATACGTACATACATACATAAATACTAAAAAGGAAACTCTGTGGGGGAAAGGGGTCTCCCTTGGTGTGACTGTGGGGGCGGTGAGGATGGAGGGGAGGGGGGAAAGGCCCCCACCCCTCAGTCCTCCAGCTCAAATCTCCCCCCCCATACACACACCCTCCCCCCCCACCCCCGCACCGACTGCCCGCACCCGGCCCGGCTTCATCCCACCACTAGCAGAGCTGGAGTGGAGGGAACTCTCAGCACCCCCACAATCTCCATCAGTTCCCACAAGCCTCCTTAGTCACACAGGTCAGAAAAATAAATACATATATACATATATACATATATATATATATATGGTTTATTTCATCTCCCGGCCAGGAGTCCAGGAACCCGCCCCTCCCAAACACACCTCCAAACCCCACCTCCACTGGGGGAGCCCCCACCGCGACCCCTTCCCCTCCCAGCCAAAACCAAGCCGAGGGAGGTTGCGCGCAGGGAAACTGAGGCAGGCGCTCTGATCCTCCGGTTCCGGGGTTGGAGATGTGGAAGGGGGGGAGGCCGGGACCTCCGGGTGGGTACCCCGGGATGGGAGAAGGCGGCGGCGGGAGGGGGGGGGAATCCCCGCACAGACCCCGGGCCGGGCGCGGGCCCCGGGGGCGGGGCGCGGGGCGGAGCCGGCGGGACCCGGCGGTGACGCGGCCCCGCCCGCCCGCGCATAAAGCGGCGCCCGGGGCGCAGGGACCGAGAGCCGCCGCTGCTGTCACCGCCGCTGCCGCCGCCCTCGCGGAGACCCCGACGCCGCCGCCATGCGCGAGATCGTGCACCTGCAGGCCGGCCAGTGCGGCAACCAGATCGGCGCCAAGGTGCGCGGGGGCCCCGAGGGGACGGGACGGGAGGGGACGGGGTCCCCAGGACCCAGCCAGCTGGGAAACAAAGAGCCTGGAAGGGGGGGCGGTCATCGCCTGCCCGCTGGACACAGCTGTCCGCGCAGCTGGCCAGCGCCCTCTGCGCACAAAGAGACGGGGCTCCCTCTCCCCCCCACACTCCTCTCCCCTCCTTCCTTCCCATCCCCTTTCCTTCCTCCCCCTCCTCCTCCCCCTCCTTAATCCCCCTCCCTCATCCCCCCTCCTTCACCCTCCTCCTCTCCATCCTCCTCCTCCCCTTCCTCCCCCCTCCGCAGCCAGGGCGCCCCGAAGTGCCCCCCCCCCGGGATGCTGACAGCTTCACCCCGCCTCCACCTCCTCTTTCTTGCTACCTCATCCTCACCATCCCTCCAGATCCCCCTCCCCCCCCCCCATCACCTTGCCTGAGGGAGAGGAAGCCGATGGGGAGGTGGCTGGGAGGGGGGAAGGGGAGAAGCCTGGGCCACCTCTCCCCCCTTCCCCCTCCCACTTCTCCACCTGACCCGGGATGCCCTCTCCAGTTCTGGGAAGTGATCAGTGATGAGCATGGCATCGACCCCACTGGCACCTACCATGGGGACAGTGACCTGCAGCTGGAGAGGATTAATGTGTACTACAACGAGGCCACAGGTAGGGCAGGGCGGCCGGCCTGCTGGCGTGGGGGTGCTGGCTGCTGGCATGGGGGTTCTGGCTTGCCGGGAGGGGAACCGGACGCTCCCCCACCCCCACCCCTGGCCTGCAGCGCCTGGCACTCACCCCAGCCTAACCCGTCCATCTGCCGATCTGCAGGGGGAAACTATGTTCCCAGAGCCGTGCTGGTGGATCTGGAGCCTGGCACCATGGACTCGGTCCGCTCTGGGCCCTTCGGCCAGATTTTTCGGCCAGACAACTTTGTGTTTGGTGAGTCACCAGCTTTGGCACACAAGGAAACAAGCCCCTTTAATCCCTTCCTCCTTCCCTGGGCCCAAGGGGGGGAAAAAAATCTGTCTAGCTCCAAACAGCCAATCCCAGCGTGCACAGGGGCAGCAAGGATGGAGGGGGGAGGGGCGCTGAGAAAACGCCCACACTGCAGAGGGGCTCCAGGAAGACCTCTGGGAAGAGATGATTGAACTCAAAACCTGGACACTGTCCCTGAGCTGTTTTGCTCAAGGCTGGCACATGACCACTTGGGTCACGGCTCTATGTCTTGCTCTTGGCTGGTTAGTTGGAGATAAGAATGTCACCGATGTCTCTGATTGTCAAATCTCTGTCTCCTGAGTAGCTGGGGTTATAGGCACAAACTGTCTGTCACTGCTGGGCTACATGTACACTTTTTATGTGGGTTTTCGTGGGTTTTTTTGTTTTTGGGGGGGTTTTTTTGGTGTGCAAGCACTTGTATCTTTGAACCATATCCCCAGCCTGGTTAACTATTTTGAGATTGCCATTACTATTATTTAATTACTAGGGCCTAATGGATCTCATAACTGCCTGCATGTGCTGGGTGCTGGAGGCTCACAATTAGAATACTAGCTACTTAAGAAGCTGAGATCTGGGCTGGGAATGTGACTCAGTGGTAGAGTGCTTGCTTAGCATGCACGAAGCCCTGGGTTCCATTCTGCAGTACCACATATACAGAAAAAATGGAAGTGGTGCTGTGGCTCCAGTGGTAGAGTGCTAGCCTTGGGCAAAAGAAGCCCAGAGACAGTGCCCAAGCCCCGAGTTCAAGCCCCAGGACTGGCAGAAGAAGAAGGAGAAGAGGAAGAAGAGGAGGAGCGGGAGGAAGAAGAAGAAAGAAAGAAAAAGAGATCTGAGGATCATAGTTCAAAGCCAGCTTAGAGGCAGAAACGTCTATAACTTTTTTTTTCTTTCTGTCAGTTGTGGGGCTGGAACTCTAGGCCTGGGCACTGACCCTGAGCTCTTCAGCTCAAGGGTAGAGCTCTACCAATTGAGCCACAGGGCCACTTCCAGTTTTCTGAGTGGTTTATTGGAGATAAGAGTCTCACGGACTTTCCTGCCAAGACTTTAAACCATGATCCTCTTTATTCTTATCTCCAATGAACCACCAGAAAACCTGAAATGGTGCTGTGGCTCCAACTGGTAGAGCTCTAGCCTTGATCAAAAGAGCTCAAGCCTTGAGTTCAACTGACATTAAAACAAAACAAAACAAAACTGTCTGGGTGGGTGCCAGTGGCTCACGCCTGTAATCCTAGCTACTCAGGAGGCTGAGATCTGAGAATCAAGGTTCAAAGCCAGCCCTGGCAGGAAAGTCTGTGAGACTCTTATCTCCAATGAACCACCAGAAAACCAGAAGTGGTGCTGTGGCTCAAGGGGTAGAGCCCTAGGCTTAGAGCTGAAGAGCTGAGCGACAGCACCCAGGCCCAGAGTTCAGGCCCCACGATCGACCAAAATAAAAAGTGTGTGAGGCTCTTTTTTCCAACTAATTACCAAAAATCCAGAAGTGGAGCTGTGATTCAAGTGGTAGAGCACCAGCCTTAAGGGGAAACAAACAGAAAAAAAAAACAAAACCCTCATGTCCCTCCACCTCCTCAGGCCAATCTGGAGCTGGGAACAACTGGGCCAAGGGTCACTACACAGAGGGCGCGGAGCTGGTGGACGCAGTCCTGGATGTGGTGCGGAAGGAGGCGGAGAGCTGTGACTGCCTGCAGGGCTTCCAGCTGACCCACTCGCTGGGCGGCGGCACGGGCTCGGGCATGGGCACCCTGCTCATCAGCAAGATCCGTGAGGAGTTCCCAGATCGCATCATGAACACCTTCAGCGTGGTGCCCTCACCCAAGGTGTCCGATACGGTGGTGGAGCCCTACAACGCCACCCTCTCGGTGCACCAGCTGGTGGAGAACACGGACGAGACGTACTGCATTGACAACGAGGCCCTGTACGACATCTGCTTCCGCACCCTCAAGCTGACCACGCCCACCTACGGGGACCTCAACCACCTGGTGTCAGCCACCATGAGCGGGGTCACCACCTGCCTGCGCTTCCCCGGCCAGCTCAACGCCGATCTGCGCAAGCTGGCCGTGAACATGGTGCCCTTCCCCCGCCTGCACTTCTTCATGCCGGGCTTTGCCCCCCTGACCAGCCGGGGCAGCCAGCAGTACCGGGCCCTGACCGTGCCTGAGCTCACCCAGCAGATGTTCGACGCCAAGAACATGATGGCCGCGTGTGACCCTCGCCACGGCCGCTACCTGACGGTGGCTGCCGTGTTCCGGGGCCGCATGTCCATGAAGGAGGTGGACGAGCAGATGCTGAGCGTGCAGAGCAAGAACAGCAGCTACTTCGTGGAGTGGATCCCCAACAACGTGAAGACGGCCGTGTGCGACATCCCCCCGCGTGGCCTGAAGATGGCCGCCACCTTCATCGGCAACAGCACGGCCATCCAGGAGCTGTTCAAGCGCATCTCGGAGCAGTTCACGGCCATGTTCCGCCGCAAGGCCTTCCTGCACTGGTACACCGGCGAGGGCATGGACGAGATGGAGTTCACCGAGGCCGAGAGCAACATGAATGACCTGGTGTCTGAGTATCAGCAGTACCAGGACGCCACCGCCGAGGAGGGCGAGTTCGAGGAAGAGGCCGAGGAGGAGGTGGCCTAGGGCCCTGGATTCCCCCCACCCACTTCATGCAAGGCTTTGACCACCACATTCTCCTCCCTCCTGGCCTAACTCACTTCTGACCCCCAAGATCCCAAGCACACCCCTTTATCTCCACCCTGTGGTCACTTGAGCACTGACCCTGGCTTGACCATTGACCCTTGAACCCTGCTTTATCTCCAAGCTCTCTGGAGCTCTTCCGATGGGGAGCTGTGAACCCCAGTTCACCTCATCTGAATCTGCAAACCCTTTAAATACCATGATTCCCCTGTCCCCTGGGAAACCCCCTCAAACCCATTATAAATGTAAGCCTAGAAGTCCCAGCTTGCTTTTAATTTTTTTTAACTTTCGGTCCCTCTCTCTGAAGCCTCCTTCACCTGGGTTTCCCATTAGCTCTATGCCTTCTCACTCCAGGAGCACTGATGGAGAAAAAGACAGAAAGGTTTGGAGCCTAGGAAAGCTCTCTCCTCTGCCCCCGCCCCCCCCGCCTTGCCTCACCTCCCCCCTCCCCCATCAATAAATTCTTGCCTTGACATGTTTCTGCAGAGTTCGTTTATTTACTTACTTACTTTGTGCCAGTACTGGGACTTGAATGAATTCAGGGCCTGGGTGCTATCCCTGAGCTTGTGTGCTCAAGGCTAGCACTCTTATCACCTGAGCCACAGCTCCACTTCCAGCTTCTTGGTGGTTCATTGGAGAGAAGACTGTTACAGACTTTTCTGCCCAGGTTGGCTTTGAACCTCCATCCACAGACCTCAGCCTCCTGAGCAGCTAGGATTGCAGGAGTGAGCCACCAGCACTTGGCTGCATAGTTCTTTACGTGATTTTGTTTTGTTTTTTGAAATCAAGTTTCACTATGTAACCTGGGCTGGCATTGAACTCTCCACCCTCCTGAGGACTGGAATTACTGACAGGTGCTGCCATGCCCAGCTGCAGAGGTCATATTCATTGACATAAGCAGCAGTCCAGGGCTTCTCCTTCCAGAGTGCAGGTGAGCACTGAAAAGTACTAAGCTAAGGGGCGGAGATGTTAGGTAGCTCAAGCATTGCCCCTCACCCACCCTAAGCTATGAGGCCCCTCAGACTTGCCTCCCTCCAGCTCCAGCATCGTTAACTGTCCCGGCCTGCTGTATGCACCCACTACTTCCTGGCTATGTGTGTAGGAATGCAGGGAGGGAGGTAGCCTAGGAGCCACCGTGCCTGTGTCCCATCCGGTCCCCTCAGTCTCTATCTCTTGGGTTCCCTCTGGTGGTCTTGACAGGTACTGCCCCACATAGGAAAGGACCAAAGCAAAGAAGAAAGGTTGCGAAAAGAGGAAGCATTTGGGGCAGGCTTTGGAGTCCTCAGCTGTAGCCATGGGACTAAGAAAGAAGAGGCAAGGACCTAGTATGACACCAGGGTGAGGGGACATCGTGGCCCATCCTGGTAGAATGAGGGTGAAGATCTGGCCTCTGAGCCCCGCTCCACTTTTTACCTAACCCGTTGCAGACAAGGCTAGGAAGCAGAGGTGCCTGGGTTTCTCACAGTGGGTGGGGGCAGAAGCCTCCATCCGTCCGGGGACGTCACCCGAGAAACTTCCTCTGTCAGCCACACAGGAAGCTGAGCCGGCTCAGGGCCTAGTCCTGAGCAAGGACCCCCTGGGGAAAGGGTCCAGCCGGGCCAGCCCTGCAGGGACCATGGGCTCCAGAGCTGAGTAAGAGATGACCCCTTCCCTCAACCTTTGCAGCAAGATTCCCAGGCCTGGGTTGGGAACGAGGGGAGCCCGGAGGAAAGGGGGGGACGGTGGGGGCAGGCTCCGGAGGTGCAGCGAGTCACAGGGGCAGACAGCAACAGGGAGGCCAAGGCTGCCCTTGGCTCCCCTCCCCTCTTCTCTCCCTCCTTTTCTGGCCCTGGCTTTGTGTGGGTGGTAGCTGTCACTAGGAATGCACGTCCCCCAGTGGGGGTGGACTTCTTAGCTTTCTGAGTCGTATCTTCCGGGGATCAGCAGGATGGGTGATGAGGGGCAAGGGTGGGCGTGTGTCTGCAAGAATCGGGGGTCCAGCATCACTAGTGGGTATTAAGGAGAAATGCAGAAACCCCCAGAGCCAGGAGTGTGAGTCAGTCCCAAACGTGGGTCTGGCGCTCTCTCTCTCTCTCTCTCTCTCTCTCTCTCTCTCTCTCTCTCTCTCTCTCTCTCTTTCTCTCCCTAAGTCCCAGCATTCTCTAATTCTCTATGAATCTGTGATGTGGGAGGCAGGGGAGGAAGCCAAGGTTTTATGGGATTGGAGAGGAAAGGACCAGGGCACCTTCCTATGGTAAGAGCTAGGGGATGAGTTCCCCCCCCCCCCCGCCCACCCCCAGGAACTCATGAAATCAGACACAAGTTACACAAACAAGAGTGCTCACATGCAGCCATGCACGAGAAGAAAGAAATGGAGCCAGGTGCCGCTGTGGCTCACACCTGTCATCCCACCTACTCAGGAGGCTGAGATCTGAGGATCTTGGTTCGAAGCCCAGGCAGAAAAGCCTGTGAGACTCTTACCTCTAATTAACTAGCAAAAAGCCAGAAGTGGAGTTGTGGCTCAAGTGGTAGAGTGCTAGCCTGAAGCAAAAAAAAAAAAAAGATCAGGGACAGTGCCCAGACCCTGAGTTCAAGCTCCAGGACCAGGATAAAAAGGGGTTTGTGAGACATGATTTACCCACCTACTTGCTCTGCAACTCCTACTCTAGGCCTGCCCTTCAACATTACAGAGTGAGTGGTTTCACAGAGAGAAAGAGAGAGAGAGAGAGAGAGAACCCTCTGGACCCCAAAATACTCTCTCTGCTTGCATCCCACAGAACAGATCCCCCCACGGTGTTTGACTGGTTCTTCGAAGCAGCTTGTCCTGTCTCCCTGCAGGATGGTGAGCAGGGGGGGGGGGGGGAGTCTGGGGAGACACAGGGTGGGGGAGTAGTGAGCCGAATACTCTCTCCTCCCTACAGATCCCCGCATCCTTCGGCAGTTTCCTCCAGACTTCAGGGACCAGGTATTTGGGCAGGCCCACAGAGGGAAGGGGTTCTGTGCCTTGGGCCTACAGCCTAGGGCTGAGTGTCCTCACACACACACCCTACCCCAAGAGACAACTGTGCTTCTTACCCCCTGCAGGATGCCATGCGGATAGTGCCCAAATTCTGCTTCCCTTTCGATGTGGAAAGGTATGGAGGGGAGAGAGATCTGAGGACCGCATTGATGCAATGTTCAATGACTCCAGAAACCTGGAGACCCAAGAGATCCAGACAATTGGACTCTGACAACTAGGGACCCACACACAAAGAGACACAAGGGTGGAAGGATCCAAAAACCCCAGGGAATCAGGGACCAGAACTTCAAGCATCCAAGAACTCAGGGAATCATCAGAACCCAAGTCTCAGGGGCCAGTGGACTCTGAGACTTGGGGACCCACTGAGCCAAAGATCCAAAGGCCCAGGAACCAAAGGACCTAAAACCTCAGATGACCTAGGGACCCAGGTAGTCAGGATTTCAGGGATCAGGTGCTTGAAACCCCAATAATCAAGTACCTGGACTCAGACTCCCCGCCCCAAGGAGCAGCCTGTCGACACAATAGTAGAAGCCTGTGGTAAGGGCTACTGGGAGTGAGGGTGAGGAAGATGGAACCTCAAGTCTCTGAGAGCCTTCTCCCCCTCCAGGGAGCCCCCCAGCGCCGCAGTCCAGCACTTCACCTTTGCCCTCACCGACCTGGGGGGCAATCGCAGATTCGGGTTTTGCCGCCTGCGCGCTGGGGCCCGGAGCTGCCTCTGCATTCTCAGGTCTGAGATCGGATGTACGGAGTGGGGGTGGGAAAGGGACATAGGGTCTTGGACAGGGATCTTGGGAATGCGGCCAAGGCCTGGGTCACAGGTCACTTCAGGGAACCTGTCTCTTCTCTCTCTACAGCCACCTGCCATGGTTTGAGGTGTTCTACAAGATACTGAACACCGTGGGGGACCTGTTGGCCCAAAACCAAGTGAGACCAACTCTCCTCTCAGTCCTGTGGGAGGCCCCACCTAACCCCCCCCCCCCCCACACACACACACACTCAGACAAACCTGAGCCCCTCAACTCCTTCCAGGCCCACCACCCAGCCTGAAAATCAGTCTCAACCTCACTTCTGGCTCATCCCTCCCCCCCCCCACCCAGGTCCCTGAGGCAGAAGAACTTCTCCTAAACCTTCTGCAACGGCCTCCATCTGGGCCCCGGGACTCTGTGGGACTGGAGCTGGTGAGTAGCCCCAAACTGTAGGGTGGATGGGGAGTTGTAGCCCAACCCTGGGGTACAACCTGGACCTGCTCCTCCCCCCACCCCCGCAGGGCAGTGGCTGCCTCCCGCACCTGGGAAGAGCAGGATGGGGAGCAGGGCTAGGGACCCCAGAAGGCTGGGCACACCCGAGTGAAGCCAACACTCCTTCCGCCCCCCACCTAATGATTCCCACCCCCTTACCCACCTCTCCACCAGCTTTCCTGCTTTGTGGCTCCAGACTCCGACTGCCTGCCATCTATTCCTGAGAATGTAAGTGGGACCCCAGAAAGAAGGTCTCCTCACACAGAAAAGCATGACAACTGTTGGTCATCCTGCCCAGAGCAGCCACCCACACCCCCTCTTTCCTCCCTTAGAGGAACTTAACAGAGCTGGTGGTGGCGATGACGGATGAGAACATCCTGGGACTGTTCGCTGCGCTCCTGGCTGAGCGAAGAGTCCTGCTCACGGCCAGCAAGCTCAGCACGGTGAGGGGACCGGGAAGAGGGGGTGATGCCTAGCTCTAATCCTAGCTGGTGAGGGCCAGAGAGCAACATCCTGCTCCTCTCCGCTCACAGCTATGGGGAGAATCTGAGCAAGCTACAAAGTAGCTTCTTGCCTTTGCAAGAGCGGAGCCTAGACTCCACCCACTGTGGGATACAGCAGGCTTGGCTCCGCCCTCCCGGAAAGGAAACCTGGGAGAGCTAAACCATAGCCCCACCCACCCAGAGGGAGGAGGGAGTGGGTGGGGCTTGAGTGCTGGCTCCACCCCCCGAGGGGCGGGACCCGGGCCGGCTGAATCTTAGCTCCATCCCTTAGAGGGAGGGATTAGAACGAGCAGAGTTCTAGCTCCACCTCCTCCAAAGCACAGACTGCCCCTCCCCCAGTAGGCCGGGGAATTGATTCCAGGACCCCCCACAGATACCAGCCTTAACTGATCTCTTGTTAAATTTTAAAATATAAAAAAAAAAAAGTCTTTGTTTGAATGGAAGCCAGGAGCCAGCCTCAAAGCAAAGCCC